CTAATGTCACTCATAACCATTGATATTTATGAGCTTGACATTATTTGCTTTTTGGTCTTTCAGCTTGCATCATCCAGAGGCAATAAAGAGGAACTTTTATTTCGTTTCGTATGTGTAATTGTCATTCTTATATATATGTTTTTTTCCAACGAAATCGGACAGGAAATTACAGATCACAATGATCAAGTATATTTAACTGCGTAAGAAATACATTATTTTTACAATATTGATTACAATCGTGTACTTCTTATGTGACCTTTTTGTAGACCAATAATAAAACTAATGAAAGTAAAGCTTAATATTATTTCTAAAGCGCGCACATATGTGAACATCATTGTTTTATCTCTTCTTACTTTTCTCGAATTTATATTTTAGTCATTATATTGTAGATACAAAGTGATGTGGTATGCAGCGCCCTTACATGTGCAGAAACTAATATTGTTTCTGATACAAAGAGGTAACAAAACTTTCGGGTTGCATGTGGGTGGATTATTTACCTCATCTTTACAGTGTTTTGCAACGGTAAAAAGTATATAATATAATGAAATATATTCAACGCTACCTATGTCGAACGGACATCACAAAAATAATGTTTTTTACTTGCAGTTGGCGAGTACATCAGTATCTTATTTTACCGTAATGTATTCGACGCAACAGTGACGTAAATACATCATTTAATAGTACATCGAAATGTAGTAAGTGAGCGTGACAAGTTCTCTTCGTTATATTGTTATTGGAAACTTTTAATTCATTCTGTATATTATCTTTTTTATAGTTCTTTTTAGTCGGTAGCATATAATTTATCAGGCAATCAGGTTATTAGAGATTTATATTTTACCACTTACTCCATAGTTGATACGTCGAACTTAAGATAAATGCGACTAATGTTTTCGCCAACGACCAAACGTGTTGCACGAGTGCTAGCACTGGAATGAAGTATTCGAGTGATGAAAAGAGCGATTACGCTTGCGTGAACTTTGACAAGTCGTCTCACGAGTATTATTAATATTTTGTGAGAAATTAACATATGTATGTTACATTTCTTGTGTTACATTGATAATTAATATTTTTTCTGTTGCAAGGAGGTTAAAACTCTCAGCCTGTCTGTAAATAGACTATATACAGCATCCCTGTATTTCACCTCGGCAAAAAATATCATGCATTAGAATATATTCAACGTAGCATATTTCGAGCAGGCAACACGACAGAAGACATCTTTCATTGTAGTTAGCGTGTGCATCGGTATCATACTTTACCATTATGTATTCCACGCAGCAGTCTCGTAAACATCCATCATTCAGTAGTATATTAGGATACAGTAGATGAACGTAAAAAAATATCTCAGTTCATTCGCTTGGCAGTGACAGTTGAATAAATTTATGCAAGTTACATTTCAGTTTCGTTGCCAAATCAGTGGCGTTACCTACACATTAACTATCTACTTATCAACTATTTTTCTGTATTTTTAGTATTCAATCTTGTATAAATAATGTAACAATTGCTCTATTATTTATTGATTTTGTTTATTTCTCAATTTCAGTTTAATTAAGACGAATATTTACGATCTTCGTAAAATTAATAATTTTAGATGCCGAGAAGAGACTACTTAATGTTCGTGTATATTTAGAGATGCATTGTACAATACATTTAAGAAATATAACCGACGTAACGTCTGATGCGCTTCGAATCATTTTTAGCTATTTAAAGACGTTGACCTTAATGAGATGAAAACAAACGTAGAGACGATGGGGTTATTGGAAAATAATTTTACTTGGAACAACGTGCGGCACCAAGTGAAAAGTGTAATAAGTGAGCAACGTGCTTAGATGGTTTGTCTTAAGGAATGTGTATAATTGACGTAGCTATGTTTATTGATTGTCCGGTATTTTATGAAATCTTTGGTTTCATGCCGATACGGCGACACATTGCATAAATTTGCGTATCTGCTCTCATTCTGTTGCGCACGACGCAGATCGTGAGATATGCTTCGAGATGGCGCTGATTCGATTATACTTTATCGGCAAATAATTTTATTCGGAGGAATGGGATATAGGTGAGACACCGCGCGTGGCTAGTAATTGGTGAGCATTTAATACAATCAAGCACATTTACGACTTTAACATTCCTCAGATACACACAAATGTATTAAATCGTTCAGGTGCCGCCGTGTTCAAAGAAGAGCTGGGCACACACAATTCGTCGGATTTATTTATTTTCTTGCAAAATTATGAAATTTAGTCACTCTATTGACTGCAAAATGAACACTTTTTAGAATAGTTTCACTATTGAATATCATAGATTTGAGCATCATATACATTATATACATTAATTCGGCATGTTCGTGAAATATATTAGCACTAGTAACAGTAAAAAAATTCACAAGTAATTAGAGATTTACACTTTACCGACGTTAATTCCACAGTTAACACGTGGAGCTTGAGACAAATGCGACTGACGTTTTCCTCAACGATCAAACGTGCCTGACGAGTATTCATACTGGACTGAGGCACTTGAATGATAGAAAGAGTGACTATGTTTGTGTGAACTTCGACCGGCTAGTTGTCTTTTGAGTTATTTCATGAGAAATTAATATATATTGAATTTCTTCCCATTTTACATGAATAACTGATATTGTTTTTGTTGCAAAGAGATTAAAATTACTATTTTGGGTATGGATGGATTGTTCACGGTTTCCCTCAGCAAAAAATACATCATGGATTGTAGGATATTCCGAGTAGGCAACACAACAGAATTTATTATAGTTGGTTAACACAATTTCGAGTGTGCTATCTTTTCAATAAATTTATTGTTTGCAGATGACACCATTTATGATTGCTGAATATATATCTAACCTTTTCATTAAAATTGTTACTTCCATAATATTTTCTTGTTCTACAAAGTACTCTCACTAATTTTTTAGTTTCTAGTCTCGAAAGATTGTCCTTCTTATTAATTTTATGTGATGTGCTTAAGTTTTATTTGATTGTTTAAGTCTTAATCTCTTTTGAGTGAGTTTTTCCGCACTATTAATTAAATACATCTTCGAACGTGAGTGGTAAAATATTTCATGATATTTAAATACGCGCAGTAGTAAAAAAAAATAATGTGATTGTAAGAATGTAAAAAATGTTTAGTTTAAAATTGCTGTAATTCCAAAATTTCATGTTGTCATAAAAAAAAGAAAACTTATTTATATTATGATTTGCAAGTACATCGGTATCTTATTTTATCGTTATTTTACGCAAGTGACGCACGTTAAGTGACGCAAATTTACAACGTTTAATAATATTTGGGAGTACAGTAAGTACGCGTTGGATGATATTTGGTGTTCATTAATGTATGCGTGCAAGTTAGTGAATTTCTCCGAAGAAAGCTTTGTAAAAACATTTAAATTATTAGATCAATATTTTACCGTCTATAATTCCGTGGATGGTATCTTGCTATATTGCGTCGGATCGGCTGATGTGTCTCCCCATAACCATGTGTGTCTCGTGGTTGCTGGCTTTAGAATGAACCATGTGCGCGACTGGAATGCAAGTGCGCTTGCGTGGACATTTAGATGACCAAGTCGTTTCGTGAGTGTTATTCTATGGGAAATAAACATATGCATATGTTGAATTTCTCTCGGTGTCAGATCGATAGCCAGCCTTCGCCCCTTCAAAGTCACGAAAGTGCATGTGTCTCGATCTCATAGAGATATTACGCATCGTAAGCCTACAGTTACTTTTCATTATATAATTTGCACTCGAATTTATATTGAACGGAAGAGAATTATAGAATAATAGTTTAAACGGTTGAAATAAGAGGATCTTGCAAAAATTTCGTTGACTTCCTACAGTCAAACGCGTCTTGATACTCGTAGCGAAATGATCTCTGTTGAAACTGAACATTTTTCTATTAATCGAACTCTTCTGCTAGTACTTGGCTTATGGCCTTATGAGCGATCAACACTTGTCCGACTCCAGACTATCATACTTTTTGCTATACTGATGAGTTTTATAATATTTCAGGTATGTCTATACTGTAACTGCACATGTATTGTGTAATAGAAATGGCCGCACAGTTGTCTACAGTTCTGTAGTAAATGTCTACTTTGACTTCAAAAATATGTAAACTATAATATGATTGTTGCATGTAACTGCACTATACTATTTAACATTGAACATATATATAGTAAGATGCATCAGCAGTTTTTGAAAAGTGACATAAACACCAGTTGGACTTATTGATTAAACGTTATTTATTATTAACGTTCAGAATTAATTTTTTAATATAGCTCATAATGTAATATTTACTCAACATAAGATTTATAACTTTTTTTATATAAAGTTAATTATGTTATTTTATCATAGATATGAGGGCAATAGATTATTTTAAATTTGCACTTTGGTAGTTAAATAAAGAAATAGTTTTTAATATCGTTATTAAAAAAAATGTATTGCCTGTAGACTACAGTCCTTCTAACTGCAGAATGCACTTCCGATCTTCTCATAAATGTTTTCTGCAGCACATTATTATGCTGTGTTTTATTGGTTAATTTTCTTTCGTTCTGGATTAATATGCGAACTGTAAGTTGAAATTTTTTGTGGCATATTTAACTAAGTGTTATCTACTCGTGAATTTTTCTACATAGACATTTTTTAGAATTCTTTAATAAGTCATTCTTTAACATCACACAATATTATTTATTGTTATAATATATTATTACTATAACAGGTAACATGTTTAATGGAAAGATTACAGGAAATTTGTAATGAGTTGAAGGACGAGAATGAAATTGCAATTATAAAAAGATATGGTTATCGAGCGAGACAAATTACTATTATTCTTACACGTAAGATAACCCTCTTCATACTTACTGATACATTACGATATATAATGGATTATAATCGCTATAAAAAGTCGGGTAACCATTTCACTATCTTGCACGTATGTGTGCAAACTTTTAAGTTATATTAAAAAATATCTAATTAATATCTTAATAAGGAGTTACTGGTGTAAATGTATTTTAACGATTACGTATGATATTTAAGTTATTATTAAAAATAACAGAAATTGAAATATTTCGATAATCAATTTTCTGTCAGCCTACAAACATAATAGAGAAGTTATATTTTGAGTACATTTCGTTTTACAGTAATTCTTTACTAATGATTTTTAAAAAACACTAATTTATATTATTACATTTTTTTTAATGTCCTTAGTGTTATACACGTTCCCTGAAATCGTAATTATTGCTCAGCCAATTTGGCCACGCGTTCTTGGCATTTTTTTGTTCCTGAACGAATCTTTGTACCGTCGCAAAACGTTAATCTTGACCGAGTACTTTGTCGATCAAGAAAAATATTCTTACTTAATCATGTTGCATACGAACATAGCAGTTTTCATAGGAACGTTTGCAATGGTAGCAACAAAAACGCTGCTTCTGGTGTCTCTTAACCATGCCTGTGGAATGTTTAGTATCGCCAGGTGATGAAGCCAATAGCAATATATAGTGAAATCATGATTTTTATTAGTGTATTTTCGCACGTTGATTAAATAAAAAGAAAGTTATATAATTATAGCGAGAAAATTATTTACAGTTATCGCATAGAACGAGCAATTACAAACAATAAGCGAGAAAATGTTAATCTAAAAGACCAGAATGTGATTTTTAAGAGGATGATCTATGCGGTAGACATTCATCGTAAAGCTATGAAGTCGGTATTTATTTGATAACACTTATCTAAAATAAATGTGATAACATTCTCTTATATTCTTAAAGATACTCCAGATTTCTAATATCCAGCTTTGAGAGGACTTTCTTTCTTCTCATTGCGTTAGGCGTCGTTAGCTTGAGTCTTAATCTTTTTCGAGTGAGTTTTTCCGGACTTTAAACGTGTCTATGAATGAGGGGAGTTAATATCTCAATATACGAACTTACTGATAACAAAAATAGAGAAACATAACTATTATAAATTAAAGTTTTTAAATTGTATTGTGCGTGTAAAAACAAGTCAGAGTGAAAAAAATTTTGATATTATTAGATTAGATTGGTAGTTTGTACAAGTAATATCACTTATAACTATTGATATTTATGAGCTTGACATTATTTGCTCTTAGGTCGTTCAGCTTGCATCATCCGGAAGTAATAAAGAGGAACTTTTATTTCGTTTCATATGTATAATTCTCATTCTTATATATATGTTTTTCTGCAACGAAATCGGACAGGAAATTACCGATCACAATGATCAAGTATATTTAACTGCGTAAGAAATACATTATTTTTACAATATTGATTACAATCGTATACTTCTTATGTGACCTTTTTGTAGACCAATAATAAAACTAATGAAAGTAAAGCTTAATATTATTTCTAAAGCGCGCACATATGTGAACATCATTGTTTTATCTCTTCTTACTTTTCTCGAATTTATATTTTAGTCATTATATTGTAGATACAAAGTGATGTGGTATGCAGCGCCCTTACATGTGCAGAAACTAATATTGTTTCTGATACAAAGAGGTAACAAAACTTTCGGGTTGCATGTGGGTGGATTATTTACCTCATCTTTACAGTGTTTTGCAACGGTAAAAAGTATATAATATAATGAAATATATTCAACGCTACCTATGTCGAACGGACATCACAAAAATAATGTTTTTTACTTGCAGTTGGCGAGTACATCAGTATCTTATTTTACCGTAATGTATTCGACGCAACAGTGACGTAAATACATCATTTAATAGTACATCGAAATGTAGTAAGTGAGCGTGACAAGTTCTCTTCGTTATATTGTTATTGGAAACTTTTAATTCATTCTGTATATTATCTTTTTTATAGTTCTTTTTAGTCGGTAGCATATAATTTATCAGGCAATCAGGTTATTAGAGATTTATATTTTACCACTTACTCCATAGTTGATACGTCGAACTTAAGATAAATGCGACTAATGTTTTCGCCAACGACCAAACGTGTTGCACGAGTGCTAGCACTGGAATGAAGTATTCGAGTGATGAAAAGAGCGATTACGCTTGCGTGAACTTTGACAAGTCGTCTCACGAGTATTATTAATATTTTGTGAGAAATTAACATATGTATGTTACATTTCTTGTGTTACATTGATAATTAATATTTTTTCTGTTGCAAGGAGGTTAAAACTCTCAGCCTGTCTGTAAATAGACTATATACAGCATCCCTGTATTTCACCTCGGCAAAAAATATCATGCATTAGAATATATTCAACGTAGCATATTTCGAGCAGGCAACACGACAGAAGACATCTTTCATTGTAGTTAGCGTGTGCATCGGTATCATACTTTACCATTATGTATTCCACGCAGCAGTCTCGTAAACATCCATCATTCAGTAGTATATTAGGATACAGTAGATGAACGTAAAAAAATATCTCAGTTCATTCGCTTGGCAGTGACAGTTGAATAAATTTATGCAAGTTACATTTCAGTTTCGTTGCCAAATCAGTGGCGTTACCTACACATTAACTATCTACTTATCAACTATTTTTCTGTATTTTTAGTATTCAATCTTGTATAAATAATGTAACAATTGCTCTATTATTTATTGATTTTGTTTATTTCTCAATTTCAGTTTAATTAAGACGAATATTTACGATCTTCGTAAAATTAATAATTTTAGATGCCGAGAAGAGACTACTTAATGTTCGTGTATATTTAGAGATGCATTGTACAATACATTTAAGAAATATAACCGACGTAACGTCTGATGCGCTTCGAATCATTTTTAGCTATTTAAAGACGTTGACCTTAATGAGATGAAAACAAACGTAGAGACGATGGGGTTATTGGAAAATAATTTTACTTGGAACAACGTGCGGCACCAAGTGAAAAGTGTAATAAGTGAGCAACGTGCTTAGATGGTTTGTCTTAAGGAATGTGTATAATTGACGTAGCTATGTTTATTGATTGTCCGGTATTTTATGAAATCTTTGGTTTCATGCCGATACGGCGACACATTGCATAAATTTGCGTATCTGCTCTCATTCTGTTGCGCACGACGCAGATCGTGAGATATGCTTCGAGATGGTGCTGATTCGATTATACTTTATCGGCAAATAATTTTATTCGGGATATAGGTGGGGTATAGGAATGGGATATAGGTGAGACACCGCGCGTGGCTAGTAATTGGTGAGCATTTAATACAATCAAGCACATTTACGACTTTAACATTCCTCAGATACACACAAATGTATTAAATCGTTCAGGTGCCGCCGTGTTCAAAGAAGAGCTGGGCACACACAATTCGTCGGATTTATTTATTTTCTTGCAAAATTATGAAATTTAGTCACTCTATTGACTGCAAAATGAACACTTTTTAGAATAGTTTCACTATTGAATATCATAGATTTGAGCATCATATACATTATATACATTAATTCGGCATGTTCGTGAAATATATTAGCACTAGTAACAGTAAAAAAATTCACAAGTAATTAGAGATTTACACTTTACCGACGTTAATTCCACAGTTAACACGTGGAGCTTGAGACAAATGCGACTGACGTTTTCCTCAACGATCAAACGTGCCTGACGAGTATTCATACTGGACTGAGGCACTTGAATGATAGAAAGAGTGACTATGTTTGTGTGAACTTCGACCGGCTAGTTGTCTTTTGAGTTATTTCATGAGAAATTAATATATATTGAATTTCTTCCCATTTTACATGAATAACTGATATTGTTTTTGTTGCAAAGAGATTAAAATTACTATTTTGGGTATGGATGGATTGTTCACGGTTTCCCTCAGCAAAAAATACATCATGGATTGTAGGATATTCCGAATAGGCAACACAACAGAATTTATTATAGTTGGTTAACACAATTTCGAGTGTGCTATCTTTTCAATAAATTTATTGTTTGCAGATGACACCATTTATGATTGCTGAATATATATCTAACCTTTTCATTAAAATTGTTACTTCCATAATATTTTCTTGTTCTACAAAGTACTCTCACTAATTTTTTAGTTTCTAGTCTCGAAAGATTGTCCTTCTTATTAATTTTATGTGATGTGCTTAAGTTTTATTTGATTGTTTAAGTCTTAATCTCTTTTGAGTGAGTTTTTCCGCACTATTAATTAAATACATCTTCGAACGTGAGTGGTAAAATATTTCATGATATTTAAATACGCGCAGTAGTAAAAAAAAATAATGTGATTGTAAGAATGTAAAAAATGTTTAGTTTAAAATTGCTGTAATTCCAAAATTTCATGTTGTCATAAAAAAAAGAAAACTTATTTATATTATGATTTGCAAGTACATCGGTATCTTATTTTATCGTTATTTTACGCAAGTGACGCACGTTAAGTGACGCAAATTTACAACGTTTAATAATATTTGGGAGTACAGTAAGTACGCGTTGGATGATATTTGGTGTTCATTAATGTATGCGTGCAAGTTAGTGAATTTCTCCGAAGAAAGCTTTGTAAAAACATTTAAATTATTAGATCAATATTTTACCGTCTATAATTCCGTGGATGGTATCTTGCTATATTGCGTCGGATCGGCTGATGTGTCTCCCCATAACCATGTGTGTCTCGTGGTTGCTGGCTTTAGAATGAACCATGTGCGCGACTGGAATGCAAGTGCGCTTGCGTGGACATTTAGATGACCAAGTCGTTTCGTGAGTGTTATTCTATGGGAAATAAACATATGCATATGTTGAATTTCTCTCGGTGTCAGATCGATAGCCAGCCTTCGCCCCTTCAAAGTCACGAAAGTGCATGTGTCTCGATCTCATAGAGATATTACGCATCGTAAGCCTACAGTTACTTTTCATTATATAATTTGCACTCGAATTTATATTGAACGGAAGAGAATTATAGAATAATAGTTTAAACGGTTGAAATAAGAGGATCTTGCAAAAATTTCGTTGACTTCCTACAGTCAAACGCGTCTTGATACTCGTAGCGAAATGATCTCTGTTGAAACTGAACATTTTTCTATTAATCGAACTCTTCTGCTAGTACTTGGCTTATGGCCTTATGAGCGATCAACACTTGTCCGACTCCAGACTATCATACTTTTTGCTATACTGATGAGTTTTATAATATTTCAGGTATGTCTATACTGTAACTGCACATGTATTGTGTAATAGAAATGGCCGCACAGTTGTCTACAGTTCTGTAGTAAATGTCTACTTTGATTTCAAAAATATGTAAACTATAATATGATTGTTGCATGTAACTGCACTATACTATTTAACATTGAACATATATATAGTAAGATGCATCAGCAGTTTTTGAAAAGTGACATAAACACCAGTCGGACTTATTGATTAAACGTTATTTATTATTAACGTTCAGAATTAATTTTTTAATACAGCTCATAATGTAATTTTTACTCAACATAAGATTTATAACTTTTTTTATATAAAGTTAATTATGTTATTTTATCATAGATATGAGGGCAATAGACTATTTTAAATTTGCACTTTGGTAGTTAAATAAAGAAATAGTTTTTAATATCGTTATTAAAAAAAATGTATTGCCTGTAGACTACAGGCCTTCTAACTGCAGAATGCACTTCCGATCTTCTCATAAATGTTTTCTGCAGCATATTATTATGCTGTTTTTTATTGGTTAATTTTCTTTCGTCCTGGATTAATATGCGAACTGTAAGTTGAAATTTTTTGTGGCATATTTAACTAAGTGTTATCTACTCGTGAATTTTTCTACATAGACATTTTTTAGAATTCTTTAATAAATCATTCTTTAACATCATACAATATAATTTATTGTTATAATAATAATTACTATAACAGGTAACATGTTTAATGGGAAGATTACAGGAAATTTGTAATGAGTTGAAGGACGAGAATGAAATTGCAATTATAAAAAGATATGGTTATCGAGCGAGACAAATTACTATTATTCTTACACGTAAGATAACCCTCTTCATACTTACTGATACATTACGATATATAATGGATTATAATCGCTATAAAAAGTAGGGTAACCATTTCACTATCTTGCACGTATGTGTGCAAACTTTGAAGTTATATTAAAAAGTATCTAATTAATATCTTAATAAGGACTTACGGGAGTAAATGTATTTTAACGATGACGTATGATATTTAAGTTATTATTAAATGTAACAAATTGAAATATTTCGATGATCAGCTTTCTGTCAGACTACACACATAATAGAGAAGTTATATTTTGAATAAATTTCGTTTTACAATAATTCTTTACTATTGATTATTAAAAAACATCAATTTATATCATTGTATTTTTTAAAATGTCCTTAGTGGTGACCGTGTTTTTTCAAATCATTACTATTGCTCAACCAATTTGGCCACGCATTCTTGGCATTTTTTTGTTCCTGAACAAATCTTTGTTCCGTCGCAAAACGTTCATCGTGACGGAGTACTTTGTTGATCAAGAAAAGTATTCTTTCTTAATTATATTGCATGCGAACATAGCAATTTGCATAGGAATGTTTGTAGTGGTAGCAAAAGGAACGCTACTTCTGGTGTTTCTTAAACATGCCTGTGGAATGTTTAGTATCGCCAGGTGATGAAGCCAATAGCAATATATAGTAAAGTCATGATTTTTATTAGTGTATTTTCGCACGTTGAATAAATAAAAAGAAAGTTATATAATTATAGCGAGAAAATTATTTACAGTTATCGCATAGAACGAGCAATTACAAACAATAAGCGAGAAAATGTTAATCTAAAAGACCAGAATGTGATTTTTAAGAGGATGATCTATGCGGTAGACATTCATCGTAAAGCTATGAAGTCGGTATTTATTTGATAACACTTATCTAAAATAAATGTGATAACATTCTCTTATATTCTTAAAGATACTCCAGTTTTCTAATATCCAGCTTTGAGAGGACTTTCTTTCTTCTCATTGCGTTAGGCGTGGTTATCTTGAGTCTTAATCTTTTTCGAGTGAGTTTTTCCGGACTTTAAACGTGTCTATGAATGAGGGGAGTTAATATCTCAATATACGAACTTACTGATAACAAAAATAGAGAAACATAACTATTATAAATTAAAGTTTTTAAATTGTATTGTGCGTGTAAAAACAATTGAGAGTGAAAAAAATTTTGATATTATTAGATTAGATTGGTAGTTTATACAAGTAATATCACTCATAACTATTGATATTTATGAGCTTGACATTATTTGCTCTTAGGTCGTTCAGCTTGCATCATCCGGAGGCAATAAAGAGGAACTTTTATTTCGTTTCATATGTGTAATTCTCATTCTTACATGTATGTTTTTCTCCAACGAAATCGGACAGGAAATTACAGATCACAATGATCAAGTATATTTAACTGCGTAAGAAATACATTATTTTTACAATATTGATTACAATCGTGTACTTCTTATGTGACCTTTTTGTAGACCAATAATAAAACTAATGAAAGTAAAGCTTAATATTATTTCCAAAGCGCGCACATATGTGAACATCATTGTTTTATCTCTTCTTACTTTTCTCGAATTTATATTTTAGTCATTATGTTGTAGATACAGAGTGATGTGGTATGCAGCGCCCTTACATGTGCAGAAACTAATATTGTTTTTGATACAAAGAGGTAACAAAACTTTCGGGTTGCATGTGGGTGGATTATTTACCTCATCTTTACAGTGTTTTGCAACGGTAAAAAGTATATAATATAATGAAATATATTCAACGCTACCTATGTCGAACGGACATCACAAAAATAATGTTTTTTACTTGCAGTTGGCGAGTACATCGGTATCTTATTTTACCGTAATGTACGCAACAGTGACGTAAATACATCATTTAATAGTACATCGAAATATAGTAAGTGAGTGTGACAAGTTCTCTTCGTTATATTCTTATTGGAAACTTTCAATTCATTCTGTATATTATCCTTTTTATAGCTCTTTTAAGTCGGTAGCATATAATTTATCAGGCAATCAGGTTATTAGAGATTTATACTTTACCACTTACTCCATAGTTGATACATCGAACTTAAGATTAATGCGACTAATGTTTTCGCCAACGACCAAACGTGTTGCACGAGTGCTAGCACTGGATTGAAGTATTCGAGTGATGAAAAGAGCGATTACGCTTGCGTGAACTTTGACAAGTCGTCTCACGAGTATTATTTTGTGAGAAATTATCATATGTATGTTACATTTCTTGTGTTACATCGATAATTAATATTTTTTCTGTTGCAAGGAGGTTAAAACTCTCAGCCTGTCTGTGGATAGACTATATACAGCATCCCTGTATTTCACCTCGGCAAAAAATATCGTGCATTAGAATATATTCAACGTAGCATATTTCGAGCAGGCAACACGACAGAAGACATCTTTCATTGTAGTTAGCGTGTGCATCGGTATCATACTTTACCATTATGTATTCCACGCAGCAGTCTCGTAAACATCCATCATTCAGTAGTATATTAGGATACAGTAGATGAACGTAAAAAAATATCTCAGTTCATTCGCTTGGCAGTGACAGTTGAATAAATTTATGCAAGTTACATTTCAGTTTCGTTGCCAAATCAGTGGCGTTACCTACACATTAACTATCTACTTATCAACTATTTTTCTGTATTTTTAGTATTCAATCTTGTATAAATAATGTAACAATTGCTCTATTATTTATTGATTTTGTTTATTTCTCAATTTCAGTTTAATTAAGACGAATATTTACGATCTTCGTAAAATTAATAATTTTAGATGCCGAGAAGAGACTACTTAATGTTCGTGTATTTAGATGCATTGTACAATACATTTAAGAAGTACAACCGACGTAACATCTGATGCGCTTCGAATCATTTTTAGGTATTTAAAGACGTTGACCTTAATGAGATGAAGACAAACGTAGAGACGATGGGGTTATTGGAAAATAATTTTACTTGGAACAACGTGCGGCACCAAGTGAAAAGTGTAATAAGTAAGCAACGTGCTTAGATGGTTTGTCTTAGGGAATGTGTATAATTGACGTAGCTATGTTTATTGATTTTCCGGTAATTTATGAAATCTTTGGTTTCATGCCGATGCGGCGACACATTGCATAAATTTGCGTATCTGCTCTCATTCTGTTGCGCACGACGCAGATCGTGAGATATGCTTCGACAACGAGTAGAAAAGTTCCCCGCCTGCTACTTTACCAACAGTTTCGCGATACGTCATGCAATTTTATTCCGCTAACTAGTTCGAGGAAAATTTTAACGTAACGAGGAAACATCGCGGTTCGTAACGGTGCGACGGTGCGCCGAGAGAAATTGCTGGAATTTCAACGTAAGTAAGCAAAATCGTTTAAAGGGACACTCATAATATAAAGTAATGCACGCGTCGGCTTCGGAGAGATCGGATAAATTGGATAACGTTAAAGGTTACACAGTTTTCATAGAAATTAATTAACTGCGGAATTAAATAAGACTGAAAATACAAGCAAACAAATCGGTATCGCTTTCCGTAATATTTATACAGATATTTTGCCTGTCACAATTTGTTTTCATATCACCGGTGAGGCACAAACATAAACATTGATTTTTATATATATGTACACATATATACAATTAATCATTAATTTCTTTGTCATTCCTGTATTTTAATATCACAATTATGTTAACATTAATAAAACGTTAACAATATAACATTAGAAAATATATTTTCTACAATTAATATAGTATAAAATAATTTTGCAATGCATAGAGGATACTGTATAATTTATAGCGGATAAAATCTTACTAAAAGGAGATATTTTTACTTCAGAAAATTATTCTGTTTTTATTATTCTATATTTTTAATTTTAAGAAATTATTCTCTATTTTTTTTTAATTGACTTCAGAAATATATATTTTATTTTAATTAGTAGAATATTATGTAATGCGAATATGAAATAAAAGGAGAAAATACACACACATACATACATGTGAAATAGTACTATTTTTATTATTAATTATTAATAATTTCATGAAAACGCATCCAGCACGACAGAGCATTGATTAAAGCGTAATGGTGATAACGAACATAATAATATCGAATCATTGCGAGTAAATGGACAATTATAAGGACGTATATTTCACACACGAATCGTATAAATGCATAAAACAGCAGCATGTAATGCAAGGTGTGGTTTTACATATTTATAAAGTTACGGTATTTTTTAGTAATTTCCTAAATTTATCGCGTAAACATGCAATTAACATCTTAAATAAGTAATATACACAATTTTTGGTCACGTATACTTTGGTGTCACGCTAAGAGTGACGGAAAAATGTATCCGTTTGAATCCATTAAAGTTTGTCAGATGCTAGCGCGGTTTCAATTTGCTGAGTGGAAATTTAATTCTCGCAGCGCAAAAAACATAGCGAGACCACATTTGGACCACAGCGGTATTTCGGTTTAAGTTATATCTCACTACATACATGTATACACACACAGTCGGGCGAAAGTATAGTTTTCTCACCGCTGAAAAACGAAAACAGAAACGCCATAGGCAATAGTATGGCCACGATAAGCAACTTTCCGCGTTCTCGTAGAGCATATGACTGCAAAGACGGCAACGCGAGAGAATCAATATTTTTTCTCACTCTCGCAGATCTCCCTCTTTGAGTAGCAGTATCATTAGTCGTGCAGCCGCATTTGAAAAATGGATGTGTGGCCGTTGCGCTTTCGCCACCGATGTTTTATCGCTTCTCCTTCTCGTGAACGTTTATTCACACGCGAATCCGCGGATCGATCGCGAGAAAAAAGAGAATCGCAACTAATTACGATCGCATAGTGCGCCAATTTGCACGCAAATTTAAACAATCGCCGATCACCTCGGCCGTACGGCACTTCGGTGGTTCATTGATTTTGCGCGGTGCGCTTGGCAACATCCGACAATGCGAACTCACGCGCAGATCCGCCGTCACATTTTGTTGCATGATTGATCGTTTTGTTCATTATTCCCAAGTTTAAGGCTTAATCTACAATGTGCGCTTTCTGTTTCTTTCTCTTTACCTTTTTCTGACTTAAACTTTAAACCTGTCACGTCGTGGGCGCGTGTGATTAATTGCATGTTTGTCATTTTTAGTCAATGATTAGGTCAATGGATTTAATCAATTTATCCTGGAGAAATTTGTGAGTGTGTATGTGTGTGTGTGTGTGTGTGTGTGTGTGTGTGTGTGTGGCGTGCGTGGCGTACGTGCGTGCATGTGTGTGTGTATAAGAAATGTTTGTGTGTGATGAGTATTTGTTTTGAGAAGATAGTATGAATGAAGATTGTTACCTTTGTTTAACTTGAAACGAAGATATTTCTTCTGAAGAATCGGTTTCAACTTCTTGGTAAGCTACCTGACAGTTATATGTCATATCATATGTCTGTCTTCGTTTTTTCTTTAAATTGGATAAAGATAGACACATGATTTAACAGACGCATGATTTAACAGAGACATGATTTATGACTATCAGGAAACTTACCAAGAGATAACAACCGACCTAAAATTTTCAATGCTTTCATTGAACTCGATAGAGCCGACGGGACTGACAAACGAAAACTGAGGACAGATAAGTTAGATTGGAAGTGCTAGGCAATATGAAAACTAACAATAGATGATTTTTTATTTGAGCAATGTCTTGGGATAACAAACTATTTAGGTTTTAACTTGCTATCTAAGATATAAGTTATAAAGTGAGTGAGAGATTTGAATTCGGTTCATTTAATCAAAATTTTACATTACTAAATTAAAAAAAAGTTACGCAGAAACGTAACAAGCCTTAAGCCTGATTTACAATGTGCTCTTTGCCTCCTGTTTTTTACTCTTGATTTCTTTTTAACTAAAGGCTAAAGGTTTAAATCAGAAAGAGATAAAGAGAAAGAAACAGTTATCAAAGAGTACATTGTAGATCAAGCTTTAAACTAGAAAAAGATAGAGAAAAATGGAAAGCAAAGGGCACATTAGAGTATATTAGGTTTGAAAGGAAGATTTCTCGCGACTCTCTGTGTCCTGTTCATACATATCCAAGTGTTAACGCGGTCTATTGTCATAATGTGATATTATTGCTGTCTCGTTGTTGCACTTTTGAACGAGCGACAAATTCATAAGACACGGAGGCAACTGCTGTACTAATATTCGAATATAACATGTAACATGTGAGATGCATCAGCTAATTACTGTGGCGTCAGCTGCTTCATTGCTCGCGGAGGCACGCTCACGTGTACGAATCGATCGGAAAAACTCGGCTAATTACAATCGCGCGGCATGCTAATAAAGGTCGAGTTACCTCCATCCCCTTCCCCCATGCACTGTACACAATTCTGCACAGATTCGTATCAACGGTTGCGCGATATTTCACGCGTACATTCAGACTAAATAGCCCAAGCAGCGCGACGGCAATTCTCTCTAATTACATTTCAACGGTTAGAACAGCCGGATTGCTAAATATCACTGTTCCTCTCGTATCGCTCGCCGTGAGATATTGCTACGAAGTCGCCCACAAATATTTTCTAATTAGCGGCTCGTTAAGAGCAGGATAAACTATACGCTTATTGGCCGCACTCGCTGTTATCGGCAATTCGAGTTTATGGGCCGCTAATTAGAGATGTTCCTGCGTTCTGCTCGCACTAATTAACTTCGTATCTCCTTTTTTCGCGATTCCCGTTCGATTAATGCGACTGTGCTGGATTATAATGCCAGAAACGGGAAATCACTTCGTTAATGTTTCTTCGTTAATGTGATGTATACGCTAGAATAATCAAGAGACGATTTTTTTTGGAGTTGTTAGATGAAATAAAATGAAAGTGCCAATATCTGGACACATATTTCTAATCCTGAACATTTTTAATATTTTGATCTTTAAATACGAGTATTTAAATGTTTAATATAGTATATATATATTAATATGTGTATAAATATATTTTCTCTGGATTCAAAAACCTAAACATTCGTTTTGAAGAACAAAGAATTAGGTGCGGGTATTGGTATTTTTACCTCATAAAAGTGAAATTTTATTTAGATTTGCAGACCAGTTTCGAAAACAATGTAGATAAAAATGTGATATATGATTTAAAAGAAATATAGACAGCATCGAGGTTCTCTGTAATCG